ATACGATGATGCCAAATTGTACCACATAAATGATATCACAACATTATTACTCAGTCATATTTATCTCCACTACCTATCTGTGATATCTGATGCAATTTGATTTCATTATTGACAAACTGCGGTGTGTTTACAAAGCAAACACACAGCAAAATGCAAATGGAGAATCTTTACGCAGGTAGCCTAATGGGCAAGAAAACATTTCTCTGGTGATGTAATTGAGCAGATTACGTGAGAAAACAAAATGCTAGTTTTAATTCCATTCTGAATGTGTCTTGTCTGGGATGAATCTTCGCCTTGTAACTTAATCTATGCAGATCAGATCAATCATGGACATGTAACTGAGTGTATTAGAAGGAGAGGGGATTGGTGAATAAAGGCTACGTCACTGATTTACAATATATACAGACTCTATCTTGATATTCATTGCTGTATAATCAAATTCATGAGTTTCATGTTTATATGAATAAGTAAAAGTTCAATAATATATTATAATCATTAGTCATATATAGTCATCTTCATTATCATCATCTTCATCCTCATTAATACCCTCATCATCTTCAATATTATCATGGCATAGGGTAAATAATTTCATCTGGTTTTCAATAATTCAATATATAGGAATTCTTTTCCGACGAAGTCTGACTGGTAGCCAGGTGAAACTGCAAATAACAGTTGCATTGGCAAAGAAATTCTTTAATATTGGCACCTTCTTTTTGCTTATTTATAATCATCATCTCTAATAGCATCACCATCATCTGGTTTCATAATGCTATATAAATATTTTTTATATTAACGTAGCAAGAAAGAAAAATAGATTTTTTGGTTTAGCTATATAGGTTTAATATATATATCATTTTCATCCTCCTTTTCATGGTAAAATCATCATCATCATCATTACTTCCATACAAGGACAATCTTAATGTTAGTCTACAGTATGTTCAGTATACAGCCCAATCAGAATACAGTACTGTAATTATAAAAAGTAATATTAAAAAAACCTAAAATGTCACTGTACTGAACATTTTTAATTTTCTAATTTGCATAATCTAAGCACATGCACACATTTAAATCAACCACAGTTCAGTTGATCTTCATATTACAGCTCTGCCTAAACATTTTCTCCCTGTGGACAATCCAGACACTAATCGTTGTGACTCAAAACACATGTAAGCCTCTCAAGGATACGAGTCACTGCTAGCGGAGTCACTGAAGCGTATCTGCTGTGGCTATTTCTGGTGCTCTAAGCTTCGAGTGTCGTATTTGATAGTTCTCATTGATGCTAGCTTGGTTAGTTATGATTGATAAGTAAACACATCATCACCACGGTTGACGAAACTGATGAGGTATTTTTTTCAACGCAAAGAGCTAACAGCTTTCAAGCGATGAGGCTTACCCAGGATCTGAAGATAAAACCTATTCAAGACAACAACAGCACAACATCGACTAAAAGGACTTGAAAACAAATGAAGCATGTATCATAACTTTGAGAGCATATATTAAAAAAAAATAAATATTTCACTTTTATATTGCAATACCACAGACAATAATCCAAACCAACATTACTTCATGGACTCCCAACTGGTAGACATATGGCAAGAAACTACGACAGACAACTTACCTAACCACAAATTATTCCAAGGAGTTCAGTAACCTATGCCTTAATGAGCTTTAAATATTATGGTAGTTAGTCTGTGGCCACCAATGGGATATAAAAAAAACCACAATACATTCAAAAGCTTTGATTTAATTAACAACTAAAGAACTTATTTACAACAGTAATATTTTTATTGGATACAGACCTTGATTTGTATATGTTAATATCATCAATAGAAATACCAGCAAGCCCAATGGAAATACTGTATAGTTTTTGGTATTTTCCCTTATCCTCTCATTTCAGTTTTGTATTGTTTGATAAATTACTCATTAGGCAAATATTCATAACAACATGACAAATGAATTATAACATAAAAAAAAAGTTGTCAGGAAAGAATAACAGTAAAATACAGTACCTCTCAGACCAAAAACATTTTATTAGCATAAGTAAAGTTAAAACTTAGTATCTCAACATTGTATGTAATTGTGTTACAACATAGCAGAAGAGGATACAAGGGGTCCAGTTGGCCTGGGCCCCTAAATTTTGGGAATTCTTTTAAAATGGAAAAGAAAATGAAAACTAGATTTAACCATAAAAGTTGGGGAACGGGTCAAGCCCCTCCCACCACTTCCATCAGACAGAGCTCGTCGGGCAGTCGGACTAAAAAAATATATAAAAAATAGGCCCACGTCAAGCAAACACATGTCTGTCACAATCAGAGACTGTCATTTTTGTGTTCAATTCTTTCAAAAATCTCATTTGGGAGGGGGAACACCCTCTCAAACCCTTCCCCCAGCTCAGGGATATGAGCCCAAGTCCCCCTGTTGGACAGGGTCTGAGGTGGTCTGGACTCTCCACCTCCCTGGTCTTCTCTTTTTTAAGTCCCTGGATCTACTCTACTACCTCATAGGTTCCCAAATTAGCATACTCATGCATAGGCTATCAAATTAGCATACCCATGCTTCAGAACGATTCAAAACATATTTATAAAGTACTTTAAAAAAAATCATCAAACAATTTGAATAAAATTGACTTAGCATGAGCTCTACATTGGTGTGAATAATGTAATACAGGGCATAATACTATCTGTTGACATCAGATATTGATGCTATACCCAAAAGGTTATCTGCACAATGACAGTAAATATAAAAAATCAATATCAAAATATGACAATAAAAAAACCAACAAAATGACTCATTATATATTTTATTATTTATTATTCAAAATTGCCATGTTTTACAATTAAAAGCTAATCTATTACACATGCCAGCATACTTGCGAATTACCTTATCGAACCAGCAAAGAAATCCGAATATGTTACTTTTTACATATGATTGGTGTCAGACTGTAAAAAACAAGGTGTTTTCTAGACAATTTTGATTGGCGGGCCGCAAAGATAGGGTTTTTAATTCAATGTCGTGGGCCGCAAAAAAAATCGCTGACGGGCCGCGCGGGCCACACTTTGCCCACCTGTGGTGTAATGGGTCCTGCCTTTATACTGTCTGTGTCATACTAATAATAACATATTTAGATTACACTCAGTTGCGATGTAATCGGTGGTAATCCAAAACTGATTACTTCCGATCGCAATCAAGAACGTGCATTCAGACCAACACAAACAAACTTTACATTCTAGGGCCCAGGCCTCCGATGTCTAGGCTTATGTTGACTGCCTCTTGCCTGTGGAATTTGCTGTGATTCGTTGCGACCGGGTTCCGTGGTAATCAGGAGTAAAAAAGATTGCATAGCACCCAATCGCAATGGGTAACAATTGCAATATCGATTACTTATCGGCAACTATTGGTGAGCTACCACACACGATTTTACTTTGCGATTGGCTGTTGTAATTGCTACAACCATTCACAATGCGATGCTATGCTAGTCTGAATGGGGCATTAGTCTATTTTATACCTCCATGGCTTGAACAATAAATTCAATATCATCTTACTTTTTTTTAAGCAAGTTTAGCATTTAATTGAATGAAATTAGAACAAATGAATTAACAAATTCATAAATTATGCCATTCTTTGTAATAAACACTTAAACCGACATTTTAACAATATGAATAGTATAATGTCTGTATGTCAGTAATACCAGAATTTGTTCTGTGTCTTAAAAGTTTCTAATTTATTTATTTGTTTTGAAGAACATATATCAAAGCTCTGTGCAATTTCAATTGACAAATTTGTGTGATGTGTCTATATTTATCGGCATGATGAGGTCATATTACACCCAAATATGGGCATATCACATTTATTTGCCACATAAAATTTGACAGTGTGGACAGGACATTTTATCACAAATATTATTTTTTACTTGCAAGAGCAAAACATTTTAAAGTTTAAGTTGAAATGTAAAATGTTTTGTAAGTAGCATATCTGGTATATATGGTATACATGCCAACACACCTGTTTCAGCTGGGAGACTCCTGTTTTGGCAGAATCCCAGCCAATTTTTTTTCTCAAATTTTCTCACATGCTCTCCCGGTTTACAAAGAAAATTGCATAGGCATTCTAATCCTAGTTTTATTGTCTTTTTCGCAATAAAATACTACAAAAAACCTTAAGTATGCTATTTTAACCTCTGTTTTTATAATGTATATGTATGTATTTATTTTAATGAAAATGTTCCCGCCAGAAATCTCTTTCTTTGGACAATAAAGAAATCTTGAATATTTACGTTTCAATATTTTGCTCGGCGACAGCATAGCCTCTCTGTGAGTGGTGCGAGAGATGTGGATGACAAGGTGTCTGGTCAGTAAAGACTATAAGCTTAAGAATAGTGAAATTTACCCTTATGATACATTAAATAGCTAAAGCTTCCAGGGATGTAACCCCCTGGATCCCTATGTAATAGCGAGACTCCCTGCCAAACACCCACAAACCAAGGCCCTCGATGGAGCTTCATGCCAAATTCTCCTGTTTTTAATATATCAAAATGTTGGCATGTATGGTTATGGTTATACTGTACTAAATGGTGTTGTATTTCACATTCTCAAAATACTGAACTGTAAATACAATAATAAACCAGGAAATAAGCTATAGGAACCAAATCATAAAACTCTGACATAAAAAAACAAAGAAACAAAACTACACATCATCACACCCATTTCACAAACCACAATGTCAAGTAGCTATCAATTTTACAGGTGCCATAATGATGTAGGTATCTAACAATGAAGTAATAAACTTCATGATCTTGCTAATCTAAACAACATCAGATCAATATGTGTTTTTAAAATATGAAAACCGGTAGGTAAATAGTTTCATATGGACTCCAACTGAATATATGAATAATGTATTTATTAAACATGGAGTGTAAACAATTCCAAGTCCAAGATCCAATAATTTAAATAACAACTGGAATATGATTATAATTGTGTACTGTATTTAGATAAAATTTAACAGGTTTTTATTTTGGTGATGCAAAAAACACATGAATCTAGGCTTGGTAATTTATATTATAAAGAATTAATTACAATGAGAATCATTAAAATAAAAATTGTAGAAAACGGATAATTAAAATTTTTCTTTTTTAAATTTGGAAGGCTTTCTGTGCCTCTACAGTGCCTGTTAGCAACCACTGGTTGAAAGTACAAAGGGCGAAAAATACATATAAAGTAAAATAGAATAAACGACACATGGAATTAAAAACAAAATAAATTATATATAGAATAAATTTGATAAATATAATAAATATTAAAATAAATAGAATAAACAAAATAAAAAAATGAAATAAATAATCAAAGCAAAATGTTTTTAAGGAGAGAGTTGTTTCACCATGTAAAATTACAATAAATTTTCTCCATGAACAACATGTCAATAATGTTCTACCGTTTTTTTAATTGGTTACTTCATAAACCTGAAGAATCACACCATTTTGTTTGCTGTATTGAAATAATAATGACCTTCTTGTAGATGGACCTTTTAGCATAATTGACATTGTAAATTATGTATGCAAAGGAAAGCAAACACCTCTGAGATACAAATAACAAGCAGTATTGACAAACAGATGAACTGCAGTGCACTCAAGTGTGTTATTAGAAATTGCTGACAACAGAGGGCGACATTTAATTAGAACAAGGCTAAGATAGAGTGAGGCATTTTTATATAGCCTGACTACAATATTATCGTATAATTAGATTATTAGTATGGCAAGATAAAAAAAAAGCCCTCCACCCATGGAGTTATATATGGAGATATTGATGCTGGTTCGAGCGACAGGCTAGTCTTGATTTTTATGGTAGTGAAATTAATCTTCTAGAACCATAGGCCCAGTACAAAATTGGCTCATGTGCATTACTATACAGAACCAAGTACTTTTCAAAATGTGTAGGGGAATACATGCCCGATGTCATGATCGAGTCTCTGTGGTGGACAGACGAGAGTAGCTGGCACTGGTTTTACCAGGTAGCTCAGACAGGAAGTGACCCTTAGAGAGCACTGTGCACCTTAAGATTTTTGTAAGAATGATTACAATGATGGAAAAATAAAAAAATAAATTTGAAACTTTAATTTTCTAACATTGGCCAGCAGCAGGAAATAAAGTAGGCATACATGAACAATTTATTTTTTTACTTGGAAAAATTCAAATTCTAATGTGTAGTATTGCAAGAACTACTAGAGAGATGAAGTTATTTGTATCCGATTTCACATATTCAGAAATAGAAATTTTTATTTTGTATTCACAGTAAGTGAATGTGAACGACATACGCAAAACTCTTCAAGTAAATTCCAATATAGTTTTCATGTTCGGTAGGTCCACTGTGGTTGTAAACGACAACATTCATTTCCCCAACAAAATCAGGTGTTGTCTTAACTTTCTGATTAACTGCCAATTCTCATTACTCACTTTTTGTTTTCCTTTGAATAGCATCAAGATCATGTTGAAATTAAACTACATAGGTTTGCAAAAGTTAATCATAGAGTAATGTTTAATAGTGTCACTAATGCGACCTTCAGATACTTGTCCTCTATTTTGAGTGAGTAAACATAGCTAGGCTGTCTTTGAGAATCAGAAGTTAGGTCAAGGTACATCACCATCAAAGGCCCAGTGTGAGTGAATGAATGCATATGCGACGGCTGTTGAAGACAGTTCAGCTTTTGAACAATTTGCGGTGATCAGCGATATACGTAGGAAACCGACTCACATCCGTGGGGAGCCTCTGGGACGTTAATCGCTCTACATCCTCTTCGTCCACCTGCTGGGTACCCATGGTATATGTGATGTAATGTTGACAGTGCGGTAAATGAAGACGACATTCACAACAATCAACCTGTTGAGATGAAAACGATCAATGAGGCAGCCGTTAATTACCTTATTATTGTATAACTAGATTATATTTGGCAACTTACAGTTTAACATGGCTTGGTGATTAAGATGCTCGCCTTTAATCCCAAGGTCATGGGTTGAATCGAATCAGCCATGCCAGGATGTCATACAACCAAATCGCAACTCAAAACAACTTTATATAGGTACTTGGTTACAAAACACCAAGGGTCCCAAATGATCACCCATGTTAAATATGTTTTTTTTTTCAATCAAAATCTATATCACTTGTTGGGAAAAATACAAGCTTCAAATACCACATTCTGAATTCTCCAAATTATCAACATCTTCATCAGGACACCATACTGTTATGCTTGGCAGTCATTTGTTGGCAGGGTTGTCATGGAAATAATATTTGCCAAAGGATACAAGGTGCTAGGGTACTTAATTTGGCAAAACAGCACCAACAGTAACCTTCACTGCTTGCCTGTGGAGTATTCCTTGTAGTGCTGTGTGTTGTGCATAGATGGAGAGGAACCCAAAGACAAGAAAAATGCATAAGGAGTTAAAAATTCTGCTGCGCCAACCCCTCCAACAGCAGAAAAGGTTTGAAATCAGCCATGAACTACTATAATCATACTGTTATACATAATAGTACATATTTTTTTTAATTGCTCCTGAAATTCTGTCCTGATGGTTGCAAATCTCTGTTCAGTGTAACTACTTCTACACCTAGTGCTGTTCCATACTGATGCACAGAGAGTCAAAGAAGTTGCCTGAAAATTGGATTCGGTGGCATACATAGCAGGTGCACAAAGTGGGCCATAAAAAGCTTGCGCCCCCAACCCCAGTTGCCTTCCCCCGATTGAAAATGTCTGAAGCAAAAAAATCACACTCAAGTAGTCAATAACCACCTCATATCACCTTATTTTGTAACCATAGCCCCTCCTCACTTAATAATCGAGCTCCCCCATTTGCAACCCCCACCCCCATCAGCCCACCCATTTCAAGAATCTTAGGTACGCCACAATGGCCCAGTGGCGTGAGAAAGGCATATCTAATAGCAGACCAGAGCTTCAATCTTGGACGGTGCATATTTTTTCTATCAGAAAATGGGTTCAGCAGTTTTCAAAACTATCTCTTGTGTTATGTTTAAACTTTGCAGGCTGTGATTTCCAAATAGTGGCGGTACACTAACACAAGAGGGTTGAGTAAGCAACTGTGTTCACACACAACATGAGTGAGAAATGCACAAGAAATCTTATAAGCATGTTATATATCACAATTTATCATGTGAAATAGTCACCATCATGCCTATGTTTGTCACAGTGTATAAAAATATTATACAGTAACAATTTGCCAATACTGTATCACCATTCATATCTAAGTTCATAGCAACTAACCTCAAATAAGAATCTAGCTTCGATGAAATTATACCCTAGTTATCACGCCCCTTACCCCTACTCTTTAAACTTGTCCATCACAACAAGGCCAAATGACTGTTTTCACTTCGATGCACGGCACATGCCCCATGGGACCTGCAAACAAGCTCCCCCTGGGCATTTTCAACAGGCAACTGTCACTTGCCCTCGGTCAAGCACTTCCTTAAAATAGCTCCCAATTGACTCGTAGCCAGCAAACTTAAGCGGCCTTCAACATCAGTTACTGATTATATAATTTTTTCGAGAGATTTACAGCTCTTCATCCGAAAAGGTGTCAAAGAAGGTAAACATGACAAAGTCCTACTCACCTAATAATAACTTATATAATTTCATTTTGATAAAAACATATTTGACCTGATTCGCCAAAGTAGAACAAAAGTCTGGTTATAAATTATCAGTAAGTATCCACTGAAGATCTAATTAATGGTTAGTAATCTAATGCCTATAGTGCACAGTCTACTCTAAGCAGCCACATGCATCCAACATTAAAGGGGGAAAATGTTTCTCTAAAGATACCGTAACAAAAATAAATCAAATTTAAAAACCTCAGAAATACAGTTTTTAACAAATCTAGTTACAAGGGAATATAAAGAATTTGGGTAACAGATTGTGTGTCCATCGTGAAGGGGATGGCCTCAGTAAGATCTGACAAATTTTAGGAGTATTTTTGTTAGCATAGCACTCCCTAATAGTCAGCTTATAAAAGCAAAACTTTAATTCATTTTGTTAATGAAATAAATAAAAGGAATGCTTAGGTGGTTTCTGAAACTAAAAACCCCCCAATGCATCTTACAATATTAATGAATTGTGTTTTGGTGTTTCATCTATGCTGCCAGGTCAATAATAATTAGATATTTTTTATGAATATGCTATTATGTTTATCAAATGATAGGAAACTTTATAAAAATTGTAATTTAAAAAGATGAATTCTTAACCCCTGGTCCCTGACTGAATTCAAGAGTGAAACCATAATAAAAACCAACTTAAGTGTTTTATAAATGTGATAATACTGATACTTTTATTCTTAGTTAACAAGTTCATGTTTTGCACCATAAATGAAGTTCTTTTTCTAAATGAAGATGCTTCTAAGCATCATTTCTTAGCTTCATCTTCATAGTTTATAGGTCATCAGTGAATTATTGTACTTGGCTTTAAGTGATAGGGGAAACATTTTATGTTCTGAGTTGATGTGGATGAGCTTCAAACGTAGTGGAATCATTTGTTGTTCTGAGCTTAAACTGGAAATGGGGGAACATTTTTAATCTTTCATTCAAAGGTAGGGAAACTGTCGTTCACAGCAATAAGAGGCTGGGGAATGTTTGAGCTTTTTAACTTCAAGTAAAAGTTGAAGTTGAAGTTTTCATAATATTAATGGTGATAAAATAAATTCTTCAATAATAATAACGATGATAATGATAATGATGATCATGATGACGATATAATGATGATAACATCATCAGAAATAATGATGGTGATGATGAAAATGATGAACATGGTGATGATAATGATGATGACGATGATGATAATAATGCTCTAAATGGCAAATAATAATTTCACTTTTTTTCTTCTTTAGGGATATATAGCCATTTATCTTTCACTTCAAGAGGTAGATTACTTAATCTTTTCAGCTTATATGTGCCAGGAAGCTAACTAAATCTCTCCCTCTCCCCAAGGGAATTATCTAGAACTTTAAAAAGGTGGGAGGTAAGCCTAAACCTATGATTAAACAGAGCCATCAATCAAAAATCTAGATGATTTTGTTTTCATTGGAAGATGATACCAAGGGCTAATTTGAAAGGGTTGAGTACCAAGAGGATCCCGCCTTCATTTTGCATGGGGGTACATGTCCACCCTTTGAATGCATCACATAATTGATGTTCCTATATTAGTGTAACATTTAATGCTTGCATTGGCAATTAGATAAACACCGAGGCAAAAGTGAAACCTCCAGTCCAGCGATATATAAGCAAATAAAGGAAATGAACCAATTAAATTAACCTTGATGTTCACTTATTAGTAAACCTATAATGTCAACTCATGCTGGCAACATTCTCTCTCTTTCTCTCTTGTTACAGAAAGTAATTTGTGTAGAATGTTGGATCATGGTACAGGAAATGTTACACATTATACTCATAACAATAGTAATTACCAAGGCAATTTCAAATTTTTCATTTTTTTATTTTTTATGTCAAAGCATTATATACATTTTAAGTGTTGAGTCAAAAATAAAAACATAACTTACTGTTTACTTGATATATTTAAATAAAAAAATGAAAAGATAATGTTTCTTTGCCAAAACATAACTAATACAGTTCCTATATTCCTAAAGCTTTCACACTCACTGTTCCTTAATTTAAGGATTTTCAATGCAAACATTTTGTAAATCAGCAGAAACTGCGATGTCAATGCACCTTTAAACTTAATTGCGTGATCAAGGCTCGCCAAAGCAGCAACCGACAGAGCAAGTAAACTAAATTATTTATTTGTTTAACAAAAAAGAAAGTACATGTTATATGAAACCGAATAGTTTTCATGATTGTAATTTTTGAAATTCATAAGTTTAATCCTTTTAATGAGAAATTATGTTTTAATTGATCTTTTTCTTTTGTTTCAGGAATGACCACAGACAGTACATCTACAGAATGCACAAAGAAATGAAACCAAACTCGTGCGGTTTGACATGAGTTGTCAAATTATGGAGGGGTGTCACATATAAAATCAGAAAAATCCTATTTGTTCACAGTGGATCATGCGGATAAGTATTACTTTCTAAACAATCAATGATAGTAAACAATACCATTGATCAACTATTGCAGTTATGACATCTCGAGTCAGTCGGGTATGACCGACATTAAGTTTTGGCGAATGGTACCAAGCTAAACACGCCAAATATCAAAAACTATATTTTTTAAATCATGGCAAAAGCACAAATGTATACAAAAACAGAAATTTAAAAAAAATATATATTTCTGATAAAAGCTCTCTCCACACTATCACATTGTATGTCACAAATTTTTATGATATGCCCATATATGAGCATGATGATGTCATATTACACCCAAATATGGGCATATCACATTTACTTGTTACAAAAAAATTGATAGTGTTGAAAGAGCTTTAATCTTGTGATCCAATTAATACAGCGAGTTGTTCGACAGCAAATCTTTACGCTTCCAAAATTAAATGGTCCCTAATTACTTGCGTCCTTTGTAAAAGACACTTTATCTACGTTTGCCTGTCTTCACCCAGCAATATAAGGGTAGGATGAGAATAACCTAGAATAAAATTGCAGCTGTATGACTAGGAATACTCCCTTGGGATTGGAGGAGGATACACATGGGACATGGCGTACCATGGGGTACTAATTACCCGTATTTCTGTTAATTTACACTTTTATTCATTTATTCACATTATTATTATTTCATATATTTATCTAACTATAATCTTTATTCATCCTCACAAGATATATATATATATGTCTATTTTTATTTATCAGTTTTATTAATATTGTATCTAGTTTTACTTTACGTATTTTTTAATTTTTTAATATTTTCGTATACTTATA